TATATATATATATATATATATGCACATATATATGACCTCAAATTAATTTAAGTCCTGTTTCGCTTTGAGCAGGAGAAGTACCAAGATTTCTTGAAGCTAAGATCAAGAGTTGAAGCTCTTCAACACTCACAAAGGTAACCAAAACAGAAACACCTCGAAAAATGAGAAATGTTTCTCATAATGGAATATATATATATATATATGGTTTTGTAGGCATTTGCTTGGTGAAGGGGTAGGAGAGCTAGGGTTGGACGATCTCGAGCAGCTTGAACTACAAGTAGACATGTCCCTTAAGCAGATAAGATCAACCAAGGTTAATTATAACACCGATTAATTATTTCTCACATCATCGCCCAAATATATCGATCCATGATTTCTATAGATATATGTAACGACAACCTCAAATCTTCGCTGTTTGTCTTTGCATGCAGACCAAGTTTATGCTTGAGCAAATATCTGAGCTTAAAAGAAAGGTATATATATATATATACACACACGCACGCATGCATATTGATTAGGCACAGTCCACATCTTATACGATTCGTACACTTTGATAATTTGCAGGAGGAAATGCTTATGGAAACCAACAAAGGTCTGAGGATAAAGGTAATTATGAATTCGGGATACGATTTCTTGAAATGCAAGAAACAGTTCTAAATCTCAATAAATCGCAAAGCCCTCAAAGTTTTCCCTGTGAATAATCACTCTTGAAGTTGGAGGAGAGTGAAGCGGCCATAAACCAGTGGCAATGGGGAGCTTTAGAGCCGGGGACATCCTGTCCTGCGGACCCTCCAAATGAAAGAGAAGGTTCCTTCATACCCTCCTTACAATCCAATGGACCATTGCAAATTAGGTATTAATTAGATACACATCTCTTAATTTCGATTTCTGTTTAAAAGCACGTCCAAGTAATCCTTGTTTTTTTTTTCTCCATCTGGTTTACCAGTAATTACAAGCCTGAAGTGACTAATGCAGCCACAACCTCTGCAACAACTTCACAGAATGTTAGAGTCTTCCACGGCTGGATGATCTGATAAATACACACACACACACACACACATATACATATATATGTATATGTATGTATGTGTTTCTCATGTTTCTTTCAACACCAGATTACAGAAGATACATTGCTACTGTCATTGATTTTGTCATAGAAACATAGCTACAACCTAAGCTACAGCAAGGCTGTAATAACACGAAACAAAAAGACAGACCAATAATTTATGGATTAATACATTTCTAGATATATTGTTTTGAGGGTTACATGTAATTAAAAAAGAATTCATAATTTTCTTGTTTATATTCACTATATATATTAATTAGTCGATTGATAGAGGTGGAGAGGAAATTAGTTGGATTTTGTGGGTCAACCAAGTAGTGCTCTGCATTGTGACAGATTTGATCTGATGACACAAGATAAGGTACCACCATCCAAATCATATAAACAAGCCACTGATTAATAATAATAATAATAATAAACAATATAATAAAATGATTTGCCAGGTTTGCTCGATGAACAGGTCTAAGGTCTTCATGGCATGCACGTTCAATGAGGCTCTCTCACAAACAACGTATTAAAACACATATCAAGACAGAACCAATCTGGAAAAGAAGAAACAGGCAGAGAGATCGGTCGAGATGGGGAAACCGGCAGGGTACTGGGTGAACAAGATTCGGACATCGTTCAAAGGAAGATCATCAAACAAATCAGACGAAGGAAGTGGTTCTGGTTCTGGTTCTGGTAAGAGAGATTTCAAACCCACAAATCCGGGGAATTCGAAAGAAGAGAAACAGAGAACAGAAGAATCCAAGAATGGGGCCGAGAGCGGGAGGAAAGTGATGATCGTGGCCGATGCCACTTCCCAGTCCAAGAACGCTCTTCAGTGGGCATTGGTACATTGTGTTCAAGATGAAGATAGTATCATCCTGCTACATGTCATAAAGAAACCAAGAGCACAAGGTGTTCCACATACATACATCACACACGATTACATATATATATCAGTGAAAATCTTGATTTCTGTTTCTTGATTTCGAGATAAATATGTGAATTTTTTGGTGTAGCACCTGGGGAGGAGACACAGAAGGAGAGAGCCTCGAGGGCATACGAACAACTTCAGCCATTGAAGAACTTGTGCCAGCTCAAGAAACCTAATGTAAGTGAATCAAGAAACACTCTTCGTCATTGCAGACATCATTACTCGAACAGTTTTTTGACGGGTTTTGTTTTTTCAGGTAAAAACCGAGATAGCAGTGGTGGAGGTGGAGGAGGAGAAGGGCCGTACGATAGTGGAGGAGTCGAAGAAGCAAGGGGCTGGAGCGCTGGTAATCGGGCAGAGGAAGAGGCAGTCGAAGTGGCGAGTGATATGGAGATGGAGGAGAGAGAGCGGCAATGGCAGCCTCGTGGAATATTGCATCCACAACGCAGACTGTATGGCCATAGCCGTGAGAAAGAAGAGCAACAACGGCGGTTACTTGATCACCACGAAACGCCATAAGGATTTCTGGCTTTTGGCCTGATTGATGATGATCCCATCAAAACTCTATTCGCATAAACACCCTTTTGTTATTTGTTACTTGTCCATTAATTAAGAAGGCTCATCACGAATATGATATTAATATAATATCTTTGTGCTTATGATTCCAGTTTAAATACTGAATTGATGTAAAGACCCCATGTTGGAAGCTTAATTTTGGTGTTTGAATCGGTTAACTAGATAGAACATCATCTAAGTTACGCATGACACAAAGAGAAACATAAGAAAATAAGACAGAATTCAACCGAAGACAGAAGATGGTGATAAGACTTGACACAGAGAATATCTTAAAACAAAACCCGTAACTTAACCAGACACTAATCGAACATACCATGGTAGCGTATTGATCATCGATCTGCAACATGTGATGCAGATTCACTACAGACCCCTCACATGGCTACTCATCAGTAGCGCAAACTACGGAAATAGCTACTTGGTTCATCTTCGAAATCGTCCCTAAAGATCCGATAATCCCTTCCAGGAGCCTTCATCGTCTTCCTTTGAGAATCCTTGCTGCCTGCAAATATAAAGGCGGCTAAAACTCCGACAGCGACAACCGCACCTGCAACTTGCCATATGTCGTCGCGTTGTAACTCCAAGTCGCTGGCTTCGGTGGACTCGTATTTTTTCTCTTCCTTTCCAGAGTTGTTCCCCATTAGAACCTGCACAAAAGCTTCAAGGAAGTAGCATGGGAAGCCAGATTAGGTTTAGGTATATATATATACAAGTATTTAGGCCGCCGATCGTTAATGAGAAATCGTGTAAAGGCTCATTGAAATTTTCTAGGAAGCAGGGAATTTGAATGGATGGAGAGTTAAGAGTCGGTTCAGTTCTCTAAGAGCATAGTCTGGAACTAAACTCATGAGTGTATCTTGTGAAGAATCAAGACAACTTATCCGTTTCTTGGAAACGGAAAAAGCGCGAGTGTTAAAAGACAAAAAAAAAAAAACACAAGTCCCACATTAAATGGTCAGATATCCGACGGCTGAGAATGGGCTTTGATGAAATTCGAACCGTCTTATTTCTATGTATGTATGTATGTAATCCACAGTATCTCTCTCTAAATGCAGAGATTCGTTTCCTAAGCAATGTATTGGAGGCTCAGTTAAATATGGGCCTAATATTTGGGCTTGTAATTATTTGGGCTTTAGGGTTTAGGTGGTAAAGTTCGATTTGATCTGGTTTTTCAAGACGAAAGTGATCCGACGGCTGAGAATGCGTTTCGATGAATTTCGTAGGGGCAGCGGAACATTCGTCACGCGCACCTCCCTTTTGATTAACAGCTAAATCAGACCGGGACTTAGCATTGGGAAAATTGTACGGAACGCTTGTCTTCTCCCATGCGAGTGGGCGCGTGAGAATCTTTTTCACGGGATCTCAAGAATCTACCAAAAGATCTCGTCGCGATCAGACCGTTGCGATTTTTAAGTTTTTTCTTCGTTTTAATAAATATCATACTTCAAAATTCGTTATATACAGATTGATCTTGCTGTACACACAGATGGATAAGATCACAAGCCAACTTCACTTCTTTAAAAACAGAAAAAAAAAAGAATTAAATCTCCCTTATATTCTTTTTTTAATGAAATAATTTCATAATATATAGTGGTAGACATGTGTCATGGGCCATGGTCAAACATGTGGCACACCAACCAATTTGGATAATGCGCCAATCAAAGAAAGAACCCGCCATTGCAATTTCTTATGCTGACTTTTTCCCCAAATGTACTCCACTATTTGTATTATACAAGCGATCTGTCACAATTACATAACATACCAGAATTGTTACAAATATGGCTTGGCACGTTTTTTTCGCGAATTTTCAAAACTGAATAAAAAAAAAAAATAGTATAATGAATCTGATTAAACACCCAATTCGAATAAATATAAGACAAAACCCAAGTCAGGATAAAGTTTGTCAGTGAGATGAGATTGGTGTGAATCACGGTTTATATACAGAAATGATCCAACGTTTCATTACATGAAGGCTTAGGGGAACGGAGAGCAAGAAAAAGACATCGACTTTTAACGACAGAACAAAAAACTAAGCAAGACCCAAGAAAATCCGAACAAAAACATTGAAACCCAATTCCAGAAACAGATCATCAGACAGATATGGACCAATTTAATCGACGAAAGGAAGGTGGAAAAAGAGACGAAGAAGAGCAGGGGCAGAGAGAAAGAGAGAGTAACAAACCCATCCCCCCCCCTTTGTGTCCCCTATCAATCTCTATGTACAATGTCTTTGAGAAAACCTGTGGGATCTCATCTTTTTCAGGAGTATGATCTGATCAATCCGAAGTTGACGAAAGATCTCGACTTGAACAGACTTCCGAAGAGAAACCTCGTCGGAGATTCTTGAGACGCCAGTTTCAGATTCTCCTCTGCATCGCCCTTCACCTTGAGTATCGTCTGACCGATCACTTGCCTGATCGAATCTATGGTCTTGGGATCAACTGTGTAACCCGAGGCATCGCTCACGTAGAACGTGTTTAGAGCTTTCCCTCCTCTGGTTTTCACCTCGGCTCTCGTGACTGTAAGGCTGTTTTCTCGGAATATTCGGGTTACGCTCGACAGCAACCCGACTCTATCGGTAGTGCACAGCTCCAGCTTCAGACCCTGAAACACGGGCATCGCTTTCTTTATCACTGAACCATACACTTATTGAATGAATATACATGTATATACACACGCATGACTGCGAATAGATGGCGAATTTTGGGAAACTAGATCAAGCTTTACCTCGGAGACTCTTCTTTGGATTGCTGCTCTGAGGCATTTTATCACGCGTTCCCTCTCGGCCTCAGATTTTACTGGAGATCCGTCGGTATGTCTTACGTAGTATTCCTATGAAGGATATAAACAAAAAAGGGGTCAAGCCTATATAAGCATCGTCTAAGAGATCAAACATTCGGATTTTTACGAAAATTTTGAAAAGGCTGAGTACCTGATGAGCTTCGGGACCTTCGGCGTCGATGTTTGCATGGAAAACCACGTACTTCATATCCGTCAAAGTAAAAACGGTATCGAAGAGAAGCTTCGGCCTATCTTTACTTCTGATAGTGACGATGGAGTAATCTCTATCATGCCAGTTGACTACATCAACATCTGGCCTGAGTCTCCCAACCTTATCTACACCACCATCTTCATCATTGTCCTGTTCGTAATCTCTATCGGCAAACATCATCTGATGAAGCCTGCGATCCGTGTGTGTGACCTCTAGAGAAGAAACCATTGTTTTCGCCTCGTGGGTTCTACTGTTGCCTCCCATAAGCACATTACCGAGATGCCTCTTGATTTTGGACAACCTTTCCTGGTCGGTAATTGCAAAACCCGTTTCTTCGTCTGTGATCTGTACAATGGCCGCTGCTCTCGTGTTGTGTGTCCATATCTCAGCGTTCACCACATTGCACCGGAGGTCCCTTAGGACAGCGCTGAGTTCAGACAGCAAACCGGGTCTGTCAGACCCTGTTAACTCAATCACCGTGAAATCCGTCGATTGCTTGACCCCGACCGATCTCATGGATGACATGAAGCAAGATTCAGGCCCCAAAGACTGCAGAAACAAATACGAACGGTCAGACCAATCAAACAAACTACACAAGAAGACACCGAAAACAAGATGGTAAGATGTTTCTCGCTTACTTTGCGAATATAATCAAGAACCAGTTCATCGGTGACTTTGTTCCCGTCTTGATTAGTAACATTGAAAACTGTCCAGAATCAATAAAATCAACAAACAACCAAACATCAGTTTCATTCTTGATGAGTTCAACCAATATACATAAACTCCATATGAAGACGAAGATTTCCGTACCATCCATGAACCAGCCACCATCTGAAGATATGTAAGCTTTTCTGATACTGAGATTGAGATCGGTTAGGACTTGAACAACTTCAAGAAGTATTCCGGGCCGATTCACGCTATCGACCTGAATCAAAACCACTAAGGTTATAAGCTTATGCTCATCCATGGGGACAAATCAAAATCAGCAGAGACGCATCGGTACCTTAACAACAGTGGCCTTCTTGCAGACGTCGTTATCGATCACAACCCTAGGGATGGTTAATCAAGAGAGTAATTAGATTCTCGAGAAAAAAGGGGCTCTTTTTCGATCTTGATCAGCCTAACTCGGAAGAGGAAGAACAGCAGCGAAAGCGAATCAGAGATCTGAAGCGATTCAATACCTGGGCGGATTCATTCTTCTGACGAATTTGGCATACTCATCGTCCATGTTGTGCGAAAAGCTCGAGCAAACATCTGGTCACGACCCATGAAAACCAGAGATTACAAACCGATAAACGAAAGTAGAAACCCTAATCCAACACTCGAACGAAAACAAACAACTTGTACATGAAATTAAATTGGACAGATTTAACCAGAGACCACGAAAAACAGTCGTTGCTTCGGAAATACAGAGAAACAGAGGCTTAGGGGAACGGAGAGCAAGAAAAAGACATCGACTTTTAACGACAGAACAAAAAACTAAGCAAGACCCAAGAAAATCCGAACAAAAACATTGAAACCCAATTCCAGAAACAGATCATCAGACAGATATGGACCAATTTAATCGACGAAAGGAAGGTGGAAAAAGAGACGAAGAAGAGCAGGGGCAGAGAGAAAGAGAGAGTAACAAACCCATATCCGGTCTCGTTGTACAGATTTCTTCTGTCAGTGAAGAGATCGGGGGTTTCTCTCGCTCCTCCTATTCGATTTCTGGAAGAGATGCAACTGATAGGAAGGAAATTCGAGAAAGGTTACATTTATATAAGGGGGAATTCCTACGCAGAAAAGGAAAAAGTATCAACGGTTTTCCAATTAATTTAGATGGAAAAAAAGGAAATTTAAAGTAAACTGTGAGAGATTAAGATAAACTTCGCACTGTGCGGTGTCTGACACAGATCCAGCCGACAAAATTCTCCAGAAAACACGCACGAAGAAAGCGAGACAGCGGGAAAAGAGAAAAAAGACAGCCCAGAAAATGGTGATAGTGATGGCCAGGCCCTTCGGCGCGCGTTAGCACTTAGCAGCCACCGAAGCGTTTTCTGTGGTAAAATATAAATTGTATTGACCAACAACACTAATTAAATTTACTCCCGTTTTAAATAACTTTGACCGTTTTAATCGGGCCCTATGAAAGTATATAAATCATTAAAAATATTAAAAAATCTGTAAAAACAATTTTAAACGGAAGGGATAATAAATATTGTATATTCAAGTCAATATCGATATTAGTATCTTATTTTTTAAAAAATGTTGCTTTAATTTAACTACCAAAATTTAATTGAATTTGTTTTAAGATTTCGATGGAAATAACGCAGCATAACAATCAAAATCAGATTCCAGTATATGTATAACGATGACTAAACTCCAACGTAAAGTCAACTCGTCGTTTAAACTACAACCATATTCATCACATTTAGAAAGAAAAAAAAAGTACGAACGTAAAACATTTTGGATTTCAACGAATTTATTTGTGGAGTTAAATAGCTATCTAATATCGTATTAAAGGTTTAAACGATTGTTAATTGCCTCCCAAAATTCCATGTATTGTGGGGTTACGTAATTACATGAGTCATGTTAGAATTGGACCATCGAGGAATTTGGTTGTCACCCAACAAATCCCCAAAAGGGTCAATCACTTTGAAAGTTTGAAACTTATCCGAACCATAAAAATGGAAAGAACGTCACACGTGTTCAATCACATATCGCACACGTGTGCCTCTAATCAATTTGAACCACCAAATTTCAGTGGGAACCAAATACACGTATAAACGAAAGAATGAAATAAACTGCCAAATATTAGTTAATTACCAAATGTGACATGCGTTTAAAAACGAAAAACAAATAGACGCATGATATATTAATTAAATGCCCCATTTCATAAAAGTTTTAATGGATTTTAACCATAATAGCAATGTCTTCGAGTTTTAAGATGGCTCAAAATAGAAGGCAAACATTCTACAATCAAACTAAAGTTTAAACATGAGCAAAGACTTCTAATATGTATTTTATAATCACATTTTTTTTATTCACATATTACCGTTTATAAATTTAAATTCCATTTTCTCAAAAAGGGTTTTAGCATAATTTTTTTTAAATTGATGTAAAAAAACAATTATTTAAGTGATGACCACTTAAGCTAATTAAGCGGCCGACATAACTTGAGTAACGTGCTTGCAATTTGAAAAAAAAAACAAATAAGACATTATATAAAGAAACAATAAACGTAAGAAGGAGAGCATGATGTATGTGTGATAATATATTTTAGTGGTCGTTTATTATATATATATATATATATATATATATATATATATATAATTAACATGCTGATTTGGAGGTCAAATGTTTTGAGGGAGGGAGA